GGCTCCCCTTCCCTGTTCCTGCCTTTCCATCTCCCCTTCAGTTATCCCCCTCCCCAAATTCTCGTGTCCCCCAGCAAGCACTGCTGAGTCTCTGTTTTGTGTGCCCTGGAATCCCAAAAGGCTTCGTGGCTGTGATGCACAGGGAATGGTGCCCCCCCCCAAAACAGGCGTCCTCACTGTCCCCAGAAGAAATGGGGGGGGCATCTTGAGGACTTTGGGGCAGAGGGCACAGCTGTGGGGCGTTCTGCAAGGAGGCCGTGGACCTCCCACGTGCCACGATGCCGTGGCCTGCCTAATTTGTCCCCTGTGGATGTGCACAACCTCCTTGTGGCTCGCCTTGGAGGCCTGGCTGGGGTGGGGGGGCTTGGGGGGGGTCTCTTCTTGCTGTGCGGGGAGGTTCTCCGGCAGAGACTGAGACCCTCCCTCCTCCATGGAGACCCCGAACGCCAGCCGAGAGAGCCCCTCCTCCTCTGGGGAATTTGGGGGACGGGAGGGAGACCGGGTTTAACTGCCCCCCCCTCTGCTCCTCCCCGCCCAGGCCGTGGCCATCGTCTGTGGCTTCCTCCTGGTGGTCCTGCTTTGCGTCATCTGCTTCTTCGCCCACAAGACACGCCAGAAGATCTGGCAGTTTGGCAAGCAGAACATCTACTGGGACCGGCCCCCAGCGCTGGAGGGGGGCCCCAATGTGGAGGAATGGGTGAGTGGAGCAGGGACAAAGGAGCCCCCCGGGGGAGGCAGCGGCCCTGGGCGCCCTGGTTGCTCTGGTAGTGCCAGCCGCCAGCCAGGCTGGGAATTTGGGCCGGGCCAGGAAGGGATCAAGGGGGGGGCACTTCGGGGGCAACGCCTCTCCCCTCACCAGCAGGGCCATCGTTTTGGGGAGGGGGCTTCCTCTGGGACCCTGAAGGGTGCTGATCCTCCGAGGCAGGGAGGGAAACGCCCAAGAGTTGGAAGCCAGCCAAGGGGAGGAGCAACCGGGAACTAAGGAGGAATTGCCTGACTATTAGAACAATTCACCCCCGGAACTCCTGGCCACCAGAAGTTGTGGGGGCTCCATCACTGGAGGCTCTTGGGAAGAGACCAGACAGCTGTTTGTCCAGGATGGAATAAGGACTCCTGCCTGAGCAGGGGGTTGGACTAGAAGACCTCCAAGGTCCCTTCCAACTCTACTATTCTGTTGCCACAGGTCTGCCCCACAGCCGAGCCTTTTGGGGGCATTGCAGCGCCCACTCGGCCCTTTGGGCAGCCCCCTGGCTAGGAGGAGACCCCCGGGAGCCCCCCCCTCGCTTGCCTCTGGCTGGCCGGCCTAGATATATTCCGGCCCTTTATCTCCCTGCTCCTGGCTTTAGGCATCTCCCTCTTCCAACCCCTCCCGGCATTTTCCCCACTAGGAATTTTCCTCCATAATCCCCCCCCCCAATTTTCTCTTCCTGATCTGCAACAACAGCAACACAAGCCTTCCCTCTGCCCGGGGTGTGTGTTTGTTGTGTGTGTGTGTAACCGAGAGCGCACAGGGCTGTTTATCGCTCCTCTGGTTTCGGTTG